TAGCAAAAACTCCATTAATTTTCTTTGTATTTATTCGTTCTCATGATATGTTAATCTATGGAAATCCTTCTCTTAACCTCTCGCGTCAAATGGAAAGCTACCTCTATAGAAGTCAAGTCGTTGGCAATAATTCAAGGGTGATGAAGATGTTGGGCACCGCGCTGCACAAAAACATTGAATTCATACCTGGAAATTTGGCTTGTTTTCCCACTATAAATTCACACTGAAACTGGAGTGCCATTAATTATTTTGGATGTCCGTTCCAAAAGTCAAATTTTTATACGCAACTGATTTAGAAGGTTTTTTTTTTAAGTTTGTTAAATTATAAGTTAAGTATCTAATAAATATATTTTTTATAATTAATTTATATAAAAAAATTATAAAAATTAATATTTATTTTAATATTATTATCATATAAACAATTTTGATTAATCAATTAGTTAAATTAAAATTATCATTTATATTTTTCATGTAATTAATTATAAAAAAGTATAATAAATATAATATTAACCTGTGTCTTAAATGTACAAAATAAAAAATAATTTTTTTAATATCATTTGATTAACATTTGAAGTTTTTTTAATGAGAAAACAAATATCATTAAAAAAAAAAACCACCTAGTAGCTGTGCGATGGAATGCAATATACTGCCACCAATCCTACTCAAGTTCCGAAATGGACAATTATTACATAGTTCTACGAATTAAAATGAACAATCAGAGTTAGACCCAATCCTGAACTATTATAAAGCGCATCCGATTAAAGCTAAACCAAGTAATCAACCATGAACACCAAGCCCATCCCATTACAAGACCCAACCCAACTATTTCCCTATCTCTAATTACATTACATAAAAAGTCCAAAGTAACCCTTGGAATTGTCGCCGTTGAGACCACCCTCCACCACCAGCAGCCACTGCTGCTTGCTGCCCACCACCACCACCAACTACTTCAACTCACCATCTCTTGAAAGAATAGAAGAGAAACAACCTTGAAGCTTTTAATCTTGGCAGTCTACCAAGAGATGCAATCGATTGTTGAGGAAAAGTAACAGGCTAGTTCGGGAGCATATATGTTAGAGAGCACGAATACCTATGAGAAGACATTATATTGAAACCTAACAAACATGTTTATTAGATTTTTAGGCCTCCTACATATATGTTACTCTAATACCTTGTTTTTTTTTTTTTTTAATGTGGGATCTTATAAACTTCTATCAACTCAACAGACATGTGAATTTTATACTCCAACATTCTCCCTCTGAACATGAGTCTTTCTCCCATGAGTGTAACTATGTCAAACTTTAGACCTCACTTGTCCACTAGAACTCGCTTGTTTACCAAATAACTTCAAACCTCGCCTATCTACCATGAAGACTTCACTCATCTTCACATTTTCAAATTCTACCATGGGATCACCATTATGGAATCTTTACCGCGCCATGGACTTCTTCACACCCACAATTGTAATTGAAATTGTCCTTGAACAATTATTGCACCAAGATTGAACCATTAGCTTTGATACTACTTGTTAAGGAGAGTCTAACGAGCTTGCTCGAGAGCACAAGCATGAGAGAGTATGAACACATATGAGAAGACGATGCCATATCAAACAAAAAAGACATGCCTATTAGGTTCATAGGCCTCCTTTATATATATTTCACTCTAACACCTTGTTTCTCTTCAATGTGAGATCTTATGCACTTTTGTCAAATTAACTTAACTCACATGTGAACTTTATACTGCAACATCGATTTCCCATGGCCCCCACCAAGTCCTCCACCCCATCTTGTCACACAACCATCCTCCCAACCTCCATCAAAACCCAACACACGCAAGAAAAAGAGCAAAATGAAAAGCAAAGCAATAGAAAATAGATTCAAGGTGGAGAAGCTCAAAAGCCCAAATCTCCAATCGAGGCCAACAATGCCATTCTCAATAAGAGAGAAAAAGCAAAACCCTAACTGTAATGGCTTGAATCCCATATCATTGGGGAAGTACGAGGGAGTCTGGTATAGAAGTTGAGAGACCAACTACTACTAACAATTTGAGCTAAAGGATTTCAAGGCCTATGGGACCCTAAAAAGTCATTTGGCTAGTGGCAGGTTTTAATTTAGGTCATTGCAATTGGTAACAAAGCAATCACTTCTCATAGGAGTGAGTTCATGCGGGTCATCATGGTCGATGGTAGTATGAAGATTTAAATTTGGTATATAAGTATAGAAGCCAATTATTACTAATTAACAATTTGAGTTTAAACTTTTGAGAATCTGTAAACTTTGGCCCAAAGAGTTAGGCCCAAAGAGCTAGGCCAATAGTAGCTTTTCATCTAGGCAATTTCACTAACTCTAGGGGTAAAAAAAAGAACTTTTTTTATGAAATTTTTATTAAATAAACTGTTGATCAAAAAAATTTATTGAATAACTCAATTTAATTGAAAAATAAGCCCTTTGTTTTGCATTCCCAGTTATAAAATAATGACAGTTAAATGGAGGAGGACCCAATATCAATGGTTATTGTTGTCTGTTGTACAATATAAATTATACAATAGTTTTTTATTTTTAAAAAATTATCAAAATTACCACTTATATATTACATGAAAATTAATTAAGGTCTTTAATTATAATGGAATGTTTGATTGTGACTTTATTATAACCGTATAATCTAAGATGGGACCTGTAGTTGCAAAGAACTTTGTAGTCTTCTTTCGTTTAGATCTTTTCTTCTGTCAACCTCAAAACCCTGAGGTTGGTCCTCAAGTAAACACTCCAATGCTTAAATGAGTAATAATCAAATCTACTAGAAAAGAAGCAAAGACAAGGTTTGAGATCAGTTTTAATTACCTTTTAGGGAGGATTCTTGAGGGGTATTTATGACCTTCAAAAGAGTGTCCATGTGTTTTTTCTCACAGATTACGGAATCATATATGTCAATTATCACAAAAATCTCTTATACAAAGATTGTGCATGTACAAATTTACTGTAGATCTAGGATACAAGGGATGAGTTCAATCTGATGCAGTTCAACTACTAGGAGGGATGAGCTTAAGGTTGCCTAAACAAGATTCGAGGTCCGAGATCATTCGAGTCGCTTACCTCGGACTATCACCGTAGGACCCATCTTATCGCCTTCCATCATCTACCCAGGAATTCATGAAACATTCGACGACCAATGCCACTTTGATAGTTAAATCTACGACTTAGACAGAGCACATGCACCGAGGTTGAAATATTGACCGTGAGGCAAAAATTAAAAAAGGAAAGAAACGTGTCTTAGTACGTTTCAGTTCTTTTTTATTCTTCTTATTGTGGGGTTAACGTTGCCATTTCCTTTCTAAAGTACAAACAAACACTAACAATTTCACTACTTGTCTTTGTGCTTGTTTGGCAATTGGTATGGTTTCAAAAATAAACTCTGCTGCAGAAAATGGATGTCTATCAATTACAATTCGAACTGGGTTCCAGATTGTCAAAACCGTATATTAGTTTTTAGAACTATGGTATAGATGTTCTACCTACTTCTTTTTTATCTTTTTTTTTTTTTTTTTATGGCTTAAAGTTCTTCAAAAAAAAATGGAATTCGAAAAATTAATTCTTCAAAAACCATAGCAAACAATCACTCAATATCATCAACAAGCACATTTACAAAAACTCCATAATTTTTTATGGAACAAAACAAAAACTCCATAATTAAGCCAAACATGTATTTTTGTTTTTTTTTTTTTGAGTAAATGATGGTTTTACAAGAGAATAGTCCTCATTTTTTCTCAAAACACTCCTTACTCAACAAGATTCGAACTTAAGATGTTAATTATTCAAACTTAAGAACGAAATTGAACCACTCCTTTAACGCAAGCCAAACAAGATGTTGATTAAGCATAAAATATCTTTATATTCAACCGATCCGAAACGGTTCCGTTAAGCTAAACACAGAATCGGTAACGGCACCATAAACGATAACAATGCTCTAGTTTGAGCATTTTATCTACAATAACATTAGAAAAAAGAAAAAGAGGTAGAAGAGGAGAAGAGTTACAGAAGCCGACAAGTCATCGGACATGATCTGAACAGCGGTCAGGAGATACTACGCTTGCCAGGATGATCGGCAACCTTCAAGGTCTTATCGATAAGCATTCTGGCCTTCCGGCTCCGGATCTCCACCTTTACGCTCGAGCTTTTGTCCATTTTTATGTACGGCTTCTTCTTCTTCTTCGGATTCAAGGCCCTCACCTTCGATTTGATCGATTCCACCAAGTTCTCCAACTGGTACGCCATTTCCGACTCTGATTGAATCTCTTGTTTCAGAATCGAGAGAAAAAAAGGTGAACGAGGAATGATTTGGGAAGAGGAGGGGTTTTGGAAGAGCTTTCACAGTTCCTGCATTCTGCGTTTTTTCAGCTTTCGTCGGGAATTGGAATTAGTTGGCCTGAAGTTTGGGTTCCTGACTTTTGAAAACCTGAATCAGGTTTATATGGACATCGCTGCTGGGAAAAAGGCTTGGTTATCAATATAATTACCATTTTGCTATTTTCACTCCCTCTCAATTTTTTTTGGTTAAATGCTAAATTTGGTCCCTCAACTTTAAGAAATGCACATTTTTTATCCCTTAACAATTTTTTGCACTTTTTTGATCCCTCAACTACAAAAAATGCACTCCGTTAGTCCTTCTGTTAATTTGAGTCGTTAAGTCCGCTTACGTGGCATTTTTTATATTTTTTTT